CCTGGCTGGAGGAGGCAGCCCTGCAGCCACACAGGCTCCCACAGCAGCAACAACCACTGCTGAAACCTGGAACAGCAAAACTGTGCTCACACACACGTGCTCAAATCCCACACTGGGCTTTGTGCCCTTATCGCCTTGGTGGTGCTTTGAGGCAAAAATGTGTTTTGAGGGTGAATCAGGCCAAGGCTCTGCTCAGCTCTGTTATATTCCTCATTTGCTACTCCTGTAAACCTTGACTTAGAGATCCGCGCCCTCGAGCCTGCCCTGGGGGTGGTAGCCTCTTTGCTTTTATTTAATAGCTCCCCTTGAATATTTGTCGTTATGTTTGTTTGCCCCTGGCTGGTTTGTGGTGGGAATAACGTTCTTCTGTCTGTTTCTGCTCAGAAAACATGAAGGAAGTGAAGGAGCCGAGGCACCGCAAAGACAACAGGCGCCCAGACCTGGAGATCTACAAGCCTGGGCTCTCCCGCCTCAGGAACAAGCTTGTGCCACCAAAGCCTGGGGCGTCGGAGAAGGAGAGGAGCAGAGATGAGGAGAGCAAGGAGGAGACTCCCACTAACAAGGGAGGGGGGGCTCCAGTCATGGAGGACTTCACTAAAGGCGATGGCCCGAAGCAGAATGGTCCTTTGCAGGAGACTGAAGAGACTAAAGGTGGTTTTCAGAGCCCGGAGAACTTGTCCAAGCAGCCAGCCTCGGATGAGTGGTGTCCCAAAGCCACCAGGAGAACCAAGAAGCCAGACCAGCAGATCTACCAGCCTGGGAAACGCCTGCATTCAGCTGCTAAAGAACCATCCCCGAGGTCAGCTGCTGAGGAAGTCACCAGTAAGATGGAGCAGCTGAAGGTTGAGAGGGATGAAGAGACTGAGAAAGGTACCGGAAAAGACAACAACAGGAAACCCAAATCAAACAAGGAGGATAGAGAGGGGAGCCAGGCCGGGGAAGGAGTGAAAGCCTTAAGGGGAGAAAAAGGAAGACGACTGGAGCGAGGTGACAGGATGAGGAGAGCACATGAGGAGGGGAAGCTGGGCAGCACCAGGCGGTATTCCCGCTCTGACAAGCGCCGGAGCCGGTACCGCACCTGCAGCACGAGCTCAGCTGGAAGCAACAACAGCATCGAGGGAGCCCCGCTCGTGGATGGGGTGGAGAGGCACCAGCAGCGTGCCAGGGAGAGGATGCGTCCCAGGAAACAGCTCTCGGCATCCTCCACTGACTCCCTGGATGATGACAGAATCGATGAGGCAGAAGAATGTCTCCAGCAGGAATGCAGACAAGAAGAGGCATCCAGAGCAGAGTCGAGCTTCTAGGAGTGAGAGCGAGTGGAGCAGCAATGGCAGGGAAGCGAAGGGATCCTTTCGAGTCACATTTGACAGCAGGACCATGAGCAGGGATGTCAGCCTGGCAGACACAGAGAAAAAAAAGCCCCTGAAGGCGTTTGGCAGTTGCAAAGACTCCGAGGCTGTGGATGCAAGGAGCCAGAGCAGAGAGCCCCAGGGGAGAGGCCGTGGGATCCTGTTCCTGCCTGCCAACACCGACCTCTCTGCCAGCACCACGGGCTCCCCAGAAGCCATTCACCCCGGGCCCAGGCTGCTGCTCGGTGGGGCTGGGAGCAAAGGCCCCCGCAGCAGGGGCCGGGGAGGGACCATTCGCAGGCTGTGGGACCCAAATAACCCGGACCAAAAACCCGCCCTGAAGAGCCAGACTGCTCAGCTCCACTTCCTGGACACGGATGATGAAGTGAGCCCCACCTCCTGGGGGGAAGTTCGCCAGGCCCAGACCTCCTACTATAAGTTCCAAAACTCTGACAATCCCTACTATTACCCTCGTGCCTCCGGTCAAGGCCCCCAGTATCCTTATGGTGGCTACTCCCTGCAGTATCCCATGGGTCCAAGCAATGGTGTGTACCCAGGAACCTACTACCCGGGGTACCCGGGCCAGGCAGGGCAGTACATGTGTGGCCCACTGCCCCCAGCTCCTCTGAGTCCCGAGATGGAGCAGCAGATGAGGAACATGCAGCAGCAGGAGCTGAGCAAACTCCTCCGTGAGGCTGGGAACCAGGAGCAGCAGCTCAGCAACCTGCTTTCCAGAGACCGCATCAGCCCGGAGGGGCTGGACAAGATGGCCCAGCTGAGGTGTGTAGAGGGAGGTGACTCTGAGTCATTTCCAGGCTGAACTTAACAGAGCTGTTATCCTGGGAATGGTGTCTCCTTGGGGGCTTGATATACTGGAGTTGGAGGTGTCTCTCTGGCTGGGATATGGGGTAGTGGCTTATAAGCTTCTCATGTTCTGGGTCTATTTGTCATTTGTGGGCATTGGAAGGAAACTGTGGGTGAAGATACCATTTGCCTGGGTTGGGAGCTAATTCTTGTGCTTGGGGAATGCCTTGCCCACGTTGCAGGGATGTGGAGGGAGGAGCAGTACAAGCACCCACTGCAGCTTTTGGGTTCTTTTTGCTCTTGCTGGAGCTGCTCTCTCTCAGTTCCAGTGCTCTCACATGCTTTCTGTATTTGCTGGTGGACTCGTGCTTCCTTACCTAGCCTCAGTTATCTGTCTGATTTGCACTGTGGGCTTCAGGGGCTTGTGCCTGCAAAGCCTGCTGTGGGATCCTCATGGTGTGTGACAGTGACAGTGCCCTGCAAGTGCAGGATAGCTTTGTCCTTGTCACCACTCGATGCTGTGACATACAGTGGTCCAGTGGGAGCAGCTGGTGACACCAGCTAGTGAGAGGGAAGTGCCTTGCTGTCCCTTTGGTGGAACTGTAGCAGCCCTTCCTGCTCTTTGCCATGCCCTGATCCATTCCAATGCATACATACAAGGGAGATGATCCTTTCAGGTTTATCCTCTTGGAGCAGCAACTGTGTTTGACTGCATCAGCTCCCATTTCCCTCTGGGACATATGTGGAAGCATCAATTTGCCATGGTGTGAGCTACTGAACTGCTGATGGCTGGTGCTTGCAGGCTGAGAAGCTGCAGGTGGCTCCGCACATGTTCCCTGGCAGCTCAGGCCTGGGCAGTTGCTGTTGTATTAACTGCTAATTGTGGTTCCCTGTAGGGTGGAGATGCTGCAGCTGTATGAAAGATGCATCCTGATGGATATTGAGTTCTCTGACACCCAGAACGTGGACCAGTTGCTGTGGAAGAATGCCTTTTACCAAGTGATTGAGAAATTCCGACAGCTCCTCAAGGATCCTCAGGGGGAAAATGCCCAAGAGATTCGGAACAAACTGCTCCAGCTTCTAGATGAGGTGAGAGGAGAGAAACATCCCCAAACTCCACTAAAGCTTTGGGTGGGTTTGGCTGGTGTTTAGAATGGGATGGTGTAACTGGGCAACTAGTGTTCTCAATCCTATTGATATCAGTGTGTGCCCTAGGCCATCCTTGGGCAAGGAGGATGTTCAGGCAGGTGGTGGATTAGTGTGGGACGTGGAGGTCCAGGTGGATGCTTATTATGATTTAAACCAGCCTTGCTTTGGTTTCTTTTATATTAATTAGAAATTGTCTTAAGCTAAAATGAGATGAATGCCCTGAAGTGGAAATAAACAGAGGTGTTCCTGGAGGTGTTTGTGCCACCTTTACTGAATTTGCTTTAAAGTCATACTGTAAAACTGTGCAGCTCAGTTTACTCTTTGTAGTAAGGCTGACACATCCAAGAGGAGGTGTTTTGTGGGATTAGACTGGTGGGACTGCTGGAGGGCTTTAGTCCAACCCCCTGCTCAAAGCAGGACTCCTCGCACACTAGATCAGGTCAGCCTTGATTTTGTCTTGCTCAGTCTCAAACCTCTGAGGCTTGAAATCTCCCAGTCTTGAAGAGAAACAGCTCAAACCTCAGGAAATGGACCTTCCTGCAGGCAGGGGTGGCGTGATGATTTTTTTTGCTCATCATCAATGACTGTAACATCCAAATATTGTGTGTTTCACAGGGCACTTCCTTTTTCGATGGCCTGCTCCAGAAGCTGCAGGTGTCCTACCAGTTCAAGCTGGAGGACTACATGGATGGGATGGCCATCCGCAGCAAGCCCCTGAGGAAAATGGTAGGTTGGTTTCCTCCTGGAGACTTCTCATCCTGAACAGATGTTTGCAGGGAATCTTTCTCAGCTGCTACAGGACTTGTTGAACCAACCCTGGTGCATTAACATTTCTTAGCTTCCTTTGCGAAGAACTTGGTTTTGTACCAGCTCAGGGCTAATAAAGGGAAATAAGTGTCCAAAGGTATCCTGGCTTTGCCTTAGATATTGAACATCCCTTATTTCTGCTCATGGAATGCAGGCTAATGAACAAGTTAAGCCACAGTTGTGGCTGCCTCCCTGACACTCGGCAGCATTCCGCCCTGAGCTGGGAGTGCAGGTGCAAGGGACAGCTGGGAAAGGGTATTTTAATCCAGCTCCATTCCCAAAGGGATGTGCTTGTCCAACAGCTGTCCTCAAATTAGTCACAGCCTGAACAACTCTCTTCTGGAGAGAGATGGGATGTTGTTGGGAGAGGGGAGGTGTTTAGGGGCTTGGCTTGCCCCTACAAACGCTGAACCAGTGCCATGGAGCCTTCTGCCCTTCAGTGTGTCAGGGACCACCTCCTCTTTGCTCTCTCTGTGCTCCCTGGGGCTGTGCAGCTCCCTCTTGATGTACCAAACGCTGCTTTGCAGGTGAAGTACGCGCTGATCAGTGCTCAGAGGTGCATGATTTGCCAAGGGGACATCTGCAGATACAGGGAGCAAGCAAACGACACCGCCAACTACGGGAAGGCGCGCAGGTATGGTGCTCCTCACCGGGGCTGCTCGTCCTCCCCGTACAGGGGATGTCTCTCCTCTCATGCTTAAACTGCCCCTAGCCAAAGAAGTCTTTCTGCTCCTCTCTATTACTGCAGTGCTGTGAAGCTGAAGGGTGCAGCCTGGGCTGTTTTGCTGTCCCAGAGAGTCATCCTCCAGCCATCGAGCATGGAAGTTTTTCCTCCTGCAGGGAGGGTTGATGCTGTTGGGGCTGGCAGAATGGCTGTTGTGTTTTCTGGTAGCTTTGCAGCAAGGAGAGATTCCCATATGTGTCCATATGTTCTGACTGATTGAGGAGTTTCTGGCACTTGTTGCTTTCTGTCACTGGTTTTTCTGATGTTTTATTTCTGAGGCTAAAACTGGGTGGGAGGGACCGTGAAGACACAAGTGAGCCCAACATAGGGGATAGAGCACTGAAGTCTGTGGAGGTTTGGAGAACAGGGCAGGGAAAGCTGCTGATTTTGGGTCTATGTGGGCATTGTGGAGTATGCTGATGTCTCAGGGACACTGGAGGGAACGTAGCGCGTTCATGATGTGTCTGAGCAGTGTTGCTGGATCAGTGTGGCATGATATAAGCTGGAGAGTGGATAATGGAGGCAAAACAGAGAATGGAGGGATGATGGATTGCCACCAAATGGATGCCTCTTCTTTTGGGATGATTAAGTATCTCGAGAATATGGGGGACGAGCTAAGGGACATGGAGGGTTTGGTCCCAGCTGCCGTGGAGCTAAAAAGGGATCTGAGAGAGAAATGTTCCCCGAATACTCTGTTCTTTGTGCCTGAGGCTGCACAGAGGACAGCATTTGCTGGGTCTGGCTAAATACTCATGTTCAGGCTGAGCCAAGCACAGTATCTGCCCCTTCAGCAGCTCTTTCTGCCCCTTTCTTGCCCTGATCCCCATCTGCCCCTCCAGGCCAGGCGCGGGCTCGCTGCCTGTGCACTCTCTTGCAGGCAGAGGGCACTTGTGCAAAGGGCTTGTTCCCTGCAGGGCTGCCAGCGAGGGGAATTCTGCACCCTGGACAGCAGGGAAGGCAGCCTGGTGTCCTGTCAGTAAAGCTTCCTCTTTGGTTCTTCCCTCTTCAGCTGGTACCTGAAGGCTCAGCAGATTGCTCCCAAGAACGGCCGCCCATACAACCAGCTCGCACTGCTGGCCATCTACACGGTAAGGTGCTCAGCCAGCAAGGGCAGGAGAGCCCCTGGGGTGGCTGTGGGATTCCATCTGGTGGAGGAAGGTATCAGTTAGGGCAGTGCTCCCAGATGGGTCCTTTTAAACAGAAGCAAGCTGATGGCAGGATGTGCTCTGTGGGTTCCAGCTGCTGTGGCCTCGGGCAGCTTTTTAGATAGACACCACTCCCTCAGGCTATTGGCATTTTGGAGACTGTGGGCTTTGAGAGTGCAAATGTTTGAAAAGTGGGTTGTGTTTCAAGGTTTGCATGAGATTTTTGTGCCCAAGGCCATGCTGTCATGAGGATGTTCTTTCTGTTTGCTGTGTTTCCATTGAACTGTGGGCACTGGTCTGAGCAACATCTACATGTGAATTTCTTAGGCTTCATTGCTGGCTACTGCAGCCCTGCAGGAAAACTTAAATCAAGGAGGGTGTGACAGCAGATAATGGAAGCATCAGGCTGGCACATGGGCTGACAGGGATCTGCTGGCAGGAGGCTGGCAAACCCTCCAGTCTTCCTGGCCCTCAGCTCTTTGTAAAACTCCTGGGGAGTCGTTTCCATATTCACAGTAATGTTATTTCCTGACCTGCCAGGAATTCAGTATTTATCCCTTTACCACAATAGCTAGTGAGAGACCACCAGACTCTGGGTTGATGGTTGCTGTAGAAGCCTCGGGGCTGTGATATCACCTGCACTCCCAAACCCTGGCAAAGGGCTTGTGCTTTGTGCTGGTAGCTGTGAATATGAATGGAGAGCTCAAGGTTCTACTTGTCATAGTGTGTGTTGGTGTGTCTGTCCCAGGCAGCTCTGAGTCTGGTTGTGTTTTTGCAGAGGAGAAAGCTGGATGCTGTCTACTACTACATGCGCAGCCTGGCTGCGAGCAACCCCATCCTGACAGCCAAGGAGAGCCTCATGAGCCTGTTTGAAGAGACAAAGCGTAAGGTGAGGCTCAGAGCTGGGCTGAGGGATGCTGCAGCTGCCCATGCAACTGTCCTGTGCTGGAGAGCTGTGATCCAGAGAGAGAAAAGTCATGGTGGCTTTTGGACTTGGAGTCACTGCTTCCAAGCAAGTCCATGTTGGGAGAGAGGCAGCCTTCAGGATGATGGTGTCCTCCTGCCTCTCCTCGCACTGATTTGAGCTTGTTTCGGCAGCTGAATCTCATGTTTCTGGGTCACAAACTATAAACCAGCCAAGCTCAGCAAGGGCTGTAGGTTGCTGTGGTTTGTGGCATGGCCTTGACATGCAGCATGATCATTGCATTATCCCATAGGTGCCCCACACTTATGGGGCTCAGCAAGAGAGGCTGCAGTGCCTTTGTGCCCTAGAGGGTCACCAGAGCCAAAGATACAGCATGTTGGCTGTTGCACTCCTAGGGCTGGACACAGCTTTTCTTGTCCTGGGGCAGTTGGAGTTGAAAACCTCTCACCTGCACCCTTCTATAGAGTCAGAAACCAAATTCAGGACCTGTCAGTGGGTTGCTGTGGTTCTGAAGCAGGGGGAAAGGCTAATTTTCCATGTAAATGAAAGGATAGACTTTTCCTGCCCTTTGATCCCTGGGTGATGTGAGTCTCTTCTGCCTGCCCAGGCTGAGCAGATGGAGCAGAGGAAACATCAGGTGCTGGATGTGAGCCCCAGCCGGCGGGGAAAGGGCAAGAAGTCCACACTGCGACAAGTTGGAGATGATGCCACACGGCTGGAGATCTGGATCCATCCCTCCCACCCCCGCTGCTCCCAGGGCAATGAATCCGGCCGGGATTCTGAGCAGGACAATGGTCTTGGGAACCTCAGCCCCAGCGACGTGAGTACTGCAGGAGGCAGCAGTTGGCTTTGGTGTCATGTGTTTGGAATGCAGTGGAATGACACTGGATCTGTTTTGCTTTCCTGTTGCTAAATTTTCCAGTGTTTTGGCTTCCCCTCTGGGAGCTGTGCCTGGGTCAGGCTGAGGAGCTGGTGACCTCGTGCCTCTCATGTTTAAGGCATGTTGTTACCATCCATTTCTTGGCAGCATTGTGCTGGCGTGGCTGATATGGAATAGGAGAGGCACAAACAGAAGATGCTGTGAAATGCCTCTCCTCTGAAGGCTTTAACTTGGGTGAGGTTGCTGCTGGGAAATGAGGTCAGATGCTGAAGACCAGGGTTAACAGTGACCCTCTGAGTTCTGAAGTGGGTCACTTATCCCAGTGCCAAATGGTCAGATGTTTGCAGTGGGAATGTGAAGACCATGGCTTTAATTTCCAGTGTAGGTGTTATATTTGCATTACTTCTTCTGCTGAGAGGCCAGACTGGTGCCTTTGTTTTGCAAGAATGAATAAAGAAGTGACTGAGGGTCTCTCTCAGCCTGTTGGAGCTGGGTACCTTGCAAGGGGAGCCCGGGTGAGCTCTGTTTGTCAGGCACAGGAATGCAGGCGAAGGCAGTGGTGGTTGGGAGCTCATCCTCTAGGAATCCTTGCACTGCTTTGGCACATGCCTCTTGCAGGAGAACTTGCCAGGGAGCTCTGGGCTGCCTGTCCTAAAATGGCTGTTGAGGATGGGAGTTTAGCAGCACTGGGAAGACCTTCTCTGCATTCTCCAGGGCCTGGAGCTCCTCCGATGCAACCGCACTTTCAGAACTAGTTTGTGACTTCAACTGGGTGGAACTGGGGTGAAGCCTTGGAGCTCTGAGAGATAAGCTCTGGCACGTTGCTGCAGCATATTTAAGATGTTACTGCCCTTGATTGTTTTCCCTCTCCTTCTGGAAACCTTTGCTTCCTCAGAATCACTGAAAAGAACGTGCCAAGCTTTAGCCTCTCCATAAATCATTGATGAAGATGCTTTGGCATGAGATGCTGCGAGTGTTTCTGAGGCACTGGGGGTTTCTCTTTCTCCCATGTGAGGCAGTGTGGCACTAGCAAAGCAGAAGGCTGTGGTGGCTTGTCCACAGTGCTGTTTGCTAGAGCTTGCCCTTGGTCTGTTCCGAAGTGCAGATTGCTGGCAATGCCTGCACAGATTGTGTGTCTCGTTACTACCATTAATCTTGATTTCTTCATCTCTGAAACACTGGCTTATGGAAAGCATGAGCTTCCTGATCATGAAGAGGCTGCACAATCAGAAATACAATGGCACAATGGCAGAGGGAGCTGAGGGCTCAGGTTTGGGCAGTGCTGGTTTTGGCAGCCAAGATGTACTTTGCTGTGGTGCAGTGCTGCACTTGTGTTGGCACAACTGCTGATGGAGCTGTGCCATGGCCACGTCACTGAACTGATGTGGACTGGAAATAACCAGGTGAAAAGGAACCCTTAAACCTGTGTCAGTGCCAAAGCTCCCGAGCTGTGGGCTGGATAAAGGCAGCAGCTCTTCGGGAAGCTCTGGACTCCTCTATCCTCTATCCTACAGCCTCTCACCCTCCTCCTCACTGTATCTCCCGGTGGTTTCAGCTCCCTCTCTGGGAAGGAGCGGCTCAGTCCGTGCCTTGCCGCTGTGTGGCACTGTTTGGCTTCGGAAGGGCCCTTCCTGTGCCGGGGGCAGGCAGCAGCCCTCGTCTGGCAGCACCAGCACCTCTGCCCCACATCCCGCCGCCGGGCGGAAGGGAACAGCTCTTCTCCCAGGGGACGTGTGCCAGCACTGACGTGTCGGTTTGGGGAAGTGAGGCTGAATGTGTCATCACCTCCCTGGTCCCTTCCTTGTCAGCTTTAGCCCTTGGAAAGGCTGAGGCAGGCTGTGTGTGTACTGAGTGTGCTCTGCAGGTAGCTCCAGGCATCAGAAGCAGATGAACACTGCAGTGCGGACCCTCCCAGCTCTGCATGTGTACTGGGCTGGAGTGTGGGAGAGAGGCTCCTTGCACCCTTCAGACAGAGGCTGCTGCTTCAAGTGACTGGTGGTTTCACTGTGGAGACACTGGCTGCTTCACAGGTGACAAGAGATTGACCTGGGATGTTTTCTGTCCTCGTTGTGCAGGTGGTTATTAGGTGCCAGTGCTATGATGTGGCACACTTGGCAGGGAGATGCTGAGCAGTTACTCTCCCAGGGGCTGCTGATGTGCACATTGTCCCCATCAGTGAGCACAGAGTGTGCTCAGCACATGCTTGTGTGTCTCCTCTCAGTGCTGACTTGGCTTTTCCTTCTGGAGCCCTGTACAAAGACACAAACATCATTACTGTATTTCAGGGTTAGTAATGGAATGGAGTTAGTAAAGCATGATGGCAAGTCTGCAGAAGGCCAGCTCTCCCTGCAGCCCTTGCTGTGACACGGGAAGGTGCTGTGCAGAGCTGGCAGCTTGCTTTGCACTGTGTGTTGAGGCAGAGGCTTGGTATAGCTGCTGCTTTCACAGTTTGCTGTGTTGTCTGTTCTGAGAGGATGCAGAGCTGGAAGAACATAGCATCTGTCCACACTGAGGGGTGTTCACCTCCATTTGTCCCCTTCCTCAGTAACTGGATTGGGCACTGCTGGCTGGAGGGCATGGGGTGGTTTGAAAGCGAGCTGAAGAAGTGCTTGGGTTGCAGCCTGGCTGGTTTGTGCTCAGGGTTTTGCCTGTTACACCTGCTGCCTTTGGGGGTTTCATTCTGTGCATGGCTGTTCTCTGTGGTCTCTTGCATGTTGCCTGTTTTTAGGTGTTCAGTGGCAGGAGAGCCCATGCTGACTGCGTACTGCTTACCTGGTAAGATCAGGTCACATCAGGTGGGATTCCAATCAGAAGTGCAGAAAAGGAGGCTGAACCAGTAAGTGGTTGAACTGCTTTTCAATAAGACAGCAAAGGGAGCTGAAGAGCTGAATCTCTGCTGTTTCTTCTCTGCCACTGATTCCATTTGCTGTGGGTCTGTATTAATCTTAAATCTGATCGTACCAGATGCAGCCTGCTGCACAGACTGTGCATTGGGAAAGAAAGCAGGGCAAGTGTGCTGTCAGCCTCTTGAGAAAGTGTTAATATTACACTGAGTTTGAGATTTTAATCACTCCAGTCAGGAAATGCTGAGTTAAGGTTCCCACAGTTGCTATTGCTGTCTGTGCTCTGCAGTAGATACTTCCTTGTGTTACCACGCAGCCTGCATGCACTGGTACAGATTACTCCATAGCTGCAGCTAAGCTTAGGGAAGAGAAGTTTTCCCTTGGCAAGACAGTAATTGAATAATACTTCTCTCCAGATGTCTGAATACTTCAGCATCATTAAGGAATTAAGTCTCCTGGCCTCTTTGTGAGAGGTCAGCCTTGTAGAGCCATCAAAAGTTTGGTAGGGCCACCCAAAAAGCTCTTGGGAAAACTGAGGCCGGAGTCAAGATCTGCTGTCTCAGCCCTGAGTGTTGCCTGCAAGAACCTTCCTGTTCCCCCCAGCCTGCTGGTTAGGTTCGGAGGTGTTGCATTTGCTGTGCCCATGGAGCAACAACCCCTTTGCAGCAGCAGAGAAATTGGGGTGGAATCGTTAGTTCTGAAGTTCAGGGGGTTTTGACTTCCATTTCTTTACACAGGCTTTCTTCTCAGCAGCAGGGAGTAGGGACAGTGCTTCAGGGTTC